ACCAGAGGACTCGCATCATCTGCAATTTCCTAATACTCTGTATCGCCAATCCACATACCCTAATGGAAGCTGTAATCTGTACTACCAGGTCGCAAGTGGAGAATGACGAATCTCTTTATGCGTTACAACAGTCCCCGGAGGTCATCATGGCACTCGATGTTTGTGATGATGGGACCATGGGATGTGCTTTCTTCGACAGCATGGACGGCTCCTTGCAGTTGGCAGAAGATGTCCATCGGTCGACTGTGGACGTGTCGGAGCATTTCGCAACCCTTGCCTGCCCGACATTGTTATTAGTTTCCAGCAGAGCTCCGCAGGAGTTTCTAGATCACGTTCAAAGGAGTAAGGAAAATTAAGACTGATCACCTAGTCCCCTTCTCCCCTTCCCTGCATTAACTCCATTTCGTGTCTTCTCCATGTAGCAGTTGTTCTAACAGTTGCTAGGCGCTTTTCCTTATAAGAGCTGTGTCCAAATATTATCGTCGTCAGAGTTTTCTGTCGAGGCAGCGGTCGACAGGCTGTCAAGCTGGAGAAATGATCAGTTGTCAACTGCCCGGCCAAGCTCAAGAGCTCCAGTTGATGCCAGTGTCCGCCGTGATCTTCCTAATGGCGGAGATGGGAAGAGGGTAGATCGTTGTAGCATCAGCCCTGAGGAGGGTGTTGCCAACGCAAGTACTAGAGAACACAAAAATCCTGTGTCTGTAAGAAGTGACTCTAAGGTTGAACCAACTCACAGCTAACGACCGTAGCTCGGTTGCGCTGGTGCTGTCCTCACCGAGCTTCGTTACAAATGCATCTCGAGAAGCAGCCCCTCTTCTGAGCCAATATCACATCAACCCATCCCTGTAAAGACTTTTGCTTTGGAAAATTATGTCGCCCTAGGCTCAGAAACATTGCAAACCCTGCAAATCATCCAGTCTAAGATTCACCCGAACAGCCAGTATTGGGGTGGGAGAATGCAGAGTCAAGATCAAAAAGAGGGCCTCTCCATATATGGCCTTTTCCAAGGTCACAGCCACACACCTCAAGGCAGAGCTAAGCTTCGCAGGCTTATATCACGTCCAGTCTCAAACGTTTCAATAATTGAGGACCGCCAGCAGGCTATCTCTTTATTCCTTCTACCGCGGAATGCAGACAAAACTCGACATATTATTGGGGCCCTAGGAAAGATTCGTAATGCGAAAATCTATCTGGAGCATCTCCAAAAAGGCACTGGGTACTCTCTGACAAAACAGGCCTTCAAAGGGAGCGTTTAGGCGATGCTTCGTACATTTGTTTCTCAGGCTTTGAAACTGCGAGGTTTATTAATTGATCTGGCTGACGATAACGATCATCATTTCATTCGAGCTGTGCGTGCCACACAAAGTAAACCCTCAGGAATATCGTATGTTTCGGGAACTAGCCGCATAACTAATTCTTCAGTAGACGATTCCCAAATTTGATCAGGACTCCCTAGTGGCTATTGGCGAGCTAATTAGTCACACTGTGGACTTCGAACAATCCGAATACCGGGGTCGAACAACTGTGAGGCTGGGCCTTGACCGGAATCTCGATGAATTAAGACGACATTACGACGGCATGAATAGCTTCCTGGCAGAAATTGTTGTGTCTACTATTCAGACAGTGCCTCAATGGGCGGTTTCTTACATCAGATCATGTATTTTTCTACCGCAGCTTGGGTTCCTCATTGTTACTGATGTTGATCCAAGGACTGGGAAAGGGAAATACCGAGGGAACTGGCCTGATGAGGATCATTGGGAATTGCTTTTTGTTGCGGATGATTCAGCTTATTACAAAAATGACAATATGCGTCACCTTGACGATCAGTTCGGCGATGTTTATTGCAAAATAGCAGGTAGGCCAAGAGAGTCCGAGATGTTTGCTTTACTGAAATGCCACAGATAGAGAAGTTGAGATTCTCCATGTCCTTTCCCAAGAGGTTTTAAAATCCAGCGAGTGTCTGTCGGTGGCTTCCGACGCTTGCGGTAATGTTAACGTCATTCTCGCCTTGGCCCTAACTGCAGAGAAGTATAAATGGAGTGTCCCGAAATTAACAACTAGAAGCGGCATTCTCGAAATTAAAAAGGGGCGACATCCTTTGCAAGAACTAGTTGTACCAAGCTTTGTTCCCAACGACTGTCAGCTAGGAGGTGGAGGTCACAACGACGACGATTCGTGTCAAAATCAGTCCAGGTGCATGGTTCTTACCGGCCCCAATCACTCAGGCAAGAGCGTTTTCTTGAAGCAAGTAGGGCTCATCGTATATCTCGCCCATATAGGGAGTTTTGTCCCTGCAGAAATGGCGGTAATCAGTGTCACTGACCGGATACTGACCCGTATATCAACACTGGAGAGTGTTTGCAAAGAAGAAAGTGCTTTTGCTATCGACTTAAAACAGTTGCTCAATGCGATAGAGCAGTCGACCTCGAAAAGTCTCTTGATAATCGACGAATTTGGGAAGGGGACTAATTCAGATGACGGTGCTGGACTCCTTGCATCTTTCTTGGAGCACTTATCATCACTTGCAGTCAGAGCTCCCAGAAGTCTGGTCGCAACACATATCCACGATCTCTTTGGCTGCCACCAGCTGCTTCCGACCAGTGGTTTACAAATAGCCCACATGGATGTACTCAAAGCACAGTGTGGGGAATTCAATTGTGACTACATAACATACTTATTCAAGCTTCGTGATGGATATAGCTCAGATCTCTTCGGAGGTTACTGTGCAACTTTGAATGGAGTTCCCAATTTAGTCGTTGAACGTGCTAATGTCCTATCAATGCTGCTCAGTCGCAACGAGGACATCACAATTCCCTGCGCCAGACTTTCACCGGAAGAAGAGTTAAAGCTGCATTCTGCTGAGATTGTTGCGCGGAAATTTCTAGAGGGCTTTCACACCTTGGTCAGCGAAGAGAACTGTCTATTGCAGGATGCTCGACATATGTTGCAAAATATACTATCCACATAGATGAATTCGAGTTGAATTGATACATCTGCTATCCTTTGCAGGGTCTCAGACGCTCGACAAGGAGAAATGTTACGTAGGTAGGGTCCTCAAGATTTACAACACAGGGAAACCAGCGGTCGCACGCACTAGATCTTTCAAAGAGGCATACTTTGAATGCCACGTGTAGCAGATATCTACTGGAGTTTTCTTCTTTAATGACCGAGGATGATGTTTTGTAACTGAAATTTGAGTGACAGCTAGCCAATACACGGTACGGAAGCTTTGGGGCGTATCCCATGCACAGCGTGCATTCTACCACAGAAGAAAAGGGCCAGGTGTCCCCGCCATTGTATGTTTTGTTGCTGTTGGATTGGCGATGAACACGCATGTGAATATCTAGGCCTGCTGGTTCTTCGAATGCATCTGGTGTCCTCGTCTTCCACCCGCTTATGCCACTGTTGAAGGTCATGTCAAATTTCTCAATATGTAGCAAGTCTCTAATCAACAATGAGAAAGAGAAGCTCTGCTGATAAGCGGCTTATAGCTTTAAGCTCACTCATTCGCTACCAGGACATCGTCTTGTATGCATGGCTCCGTTTCTGACACCCTCTCAGCGTAGCAATTTCTGTCTAGGCTTAGAAAGACCACAGATGATGTGGAAGGCTAAGGCATCACATGCTTTTGTGTCATGACGAGCCACCTCTGTTAGTCACCTGTCCAAGATATGACGCAATCTTGACCGAGTACTCTTTTTGCTTTCCCTGACAATCGTAAGCGTCTCGCATCTCTAATGTATGCCGGTCTAAGCAAAAGTTTGTTCCATGCTTGAAGGTGTCTAGAGAATATAATTCACCTTGGAATAAAAGCGCAGCGGGTAGTTGAGAGCCGCAGGCAAATTTGGCCATTATCATCAGCTTTTCAGCTGCTAGACGAATAGAAAGAGAGCAGCAAGAGATCCTACTATAGCAGCCACAAAAAGTGGCGCAGCTGAGTTTTTCTTGCCTGTCTCTGAACTTTGACTAAAGGACTCGCATTTGGTTGCCTGGGCATTCGAGCATGCTTGACTGCTAAGGCTTGCGCAGATTGATGTAGCGGAAGCGCCCAAATTTCTCCCTTCCCCGTTAACAGTTGTGCCTCCTCCTCCTGGAACATCAACAGTCACTGCATAGCCACTCCCACCCAGGTTTATCAAGCAAGCATTATAGTTTTGAGAACAAGCTTTCGTGGCAGATGCGCATGAGGCGCTATTCGGAAATGAGGTAGGAGCATATGGGAAGGAAAAATACGGATTCTGCACATAGGATGGTGTCGCAGTTGGGATGTTGCCTGGCGCAGTGGCTGGAGCTGTACCAGTACACACGGCCCTGTGTAGAGCAATTCCGTTAGCGCGTTGGTGATCTTCATTATTTGTTCAAGGGCTACACTTACCCAGATGGACAACATGCAGCGTTATGGTTGCCATCTAGAGCGCAAAGTTGACCGTTCTGGCAGCAAACACCGTCGAAGACGGCACCAAGAGATGTCGGGCAAGGGAAAGTATTTCCTGGACATTGTGCTCTGCCGAACAATAATGGTGTACTCGCGGCGTTATACGTTGGCGACGCCTGATGGGCTGATACCTGTACTGAGGTGGTGCCTAGCAAGATGAAAGCAAGAGTTAAACAAAAACGCCCCATTGAGAGAACCAGAAGTATCGCGCTTCCCTAGATATTTGAAGACAATGATACACATCAGGGAAACCTCAGAAAATGGCGCCGTGAGTGTAAAATTCTACCGTCCTGGGCGAGAGCCAAGTATGAACGTTGTAAAGAGTTCTGAAGCCTTTTGGATATTCGGTTTCGTGGCAGCGACCTAGATTAGTGGAGAATGATGTCACCTAACTGGTTGGCTCGGCAACCAATCATGTCAAAGTCACTTCTGCCTCAATTTCGGACCGGACAACTCATCCTGCAGGCAAAACGTATTGTAGCATTGTTTATACTGGCCGCTGCCGTATTTGATTGCACGTTATGTACATGACTAATCCTTCCATATCCCTTTTTTTGACTTTACATCAATGACCGCGGACATGGTTCAGGATGAGCCTAAGCCGATTTAATGCCGTCGTGCTTGCCTCCAGAGATTCCTGGGTCTGGGTATATTGCTGCAGCTCCTCCTTCGCCTCTGTTGCGAGAGGTCCTAGATTCCCCCATACCTCGTCAGTATAGGAGGAAAGTACATCATTCCAGTGTCTTAACCAGGTGCTTCGGGCAAGCCCTGCGTCTGATGTGCCCATGTAGCTGTCCACATCCCTCCCGCAACCTTCAACTCCTACCACAAAGGCTGGGCTAAAGTTGAGGAGTCGGTCCCAAAACGGCCAGGAGCTCCCAGATCCGAATAAAGCAGCTTGTAGCCTGGCTACCTCGAATGGTGACATCTCCTCTGGTACCTCAGAAATTGGTAAATCCCCGGTTTCTGGCTGTGAGAGGAACTCCACCACATCAGAGCCGTCCAAGGCTTCTTGCTCCATTACAGATTTATCTTTCCTAGGTGCGTCCAAGACATCAGTTGTGTATAGGTTGGGTTTCGGTGTTTCCCCAGCTGCGAATGCCTCAAATGCATTTGATGTCCCTTGTAAGTCACGGTCCGATCTAAACGAGTGTTGAGCCATATTAGCAGAAGCCTGTCTATTTCTCTGTTGCTCCGTTCCGGAAATCGATTGGTGTGTCGTAAGGCATGCTGATGCGCTCGATTCCCCCCCTCCTTTTTCGCTTGACGGGAAGTTCGGTATGCACTTGTCGCTTATTGTACTATGAATGATAGCTCTACCAGATGATTGAAGCCTGTCGATGATCGAAACTGTATTTTTCCCTTTTCCTTTGTCATTGGACAAATTGGAAGTATTGCCATTTGCACTGGTACCATGTTCTTCCAGCCAGTCGTCCGAAGGTTGGTGTTGGGAATGCACCTCTCCCTCCATTGGCATATTTTCCCCATCATCAGCCATTTCTAGTGTGGTTTGGGTGTAGAATCTGATTTCGTGTGATTGTTTGATCAAGGTCCTTTCTTTTGCGGTACATATGTTGTGTAGTATTCGCTGTGTGTGGAACAGTCGGCCTTCTCCGACACAGATGGGAAGTGTAGGTAGATTAAGTGCCTCTTCGTGACAGATTCCGCCGAACCTCAAAACCCGTGGACGAGGCTTATTGGTAGGCGCGGGCAGGTGTAAAAGAAGCCGGGCCCCACTTATGGGAAATCGGTCTCACATGCTCGCCACAAGCGCCAAGTGTTTTGTGGGCAAGCAGCCACAGCTTTGACAACCACGCACGCCAGAGATATGTGTGTGCGGGAAGTCGTCGCTCACAATGTATCGTCATGTTATTCTAGTAGCGTGAGTGATCAACTAATACACCGTGATGTATTTGCAGATAGAGAATTAGATCAACCTACGGCTGCATTTCAGCCACACAAGAGCTCTCGAATCAGTGTTCCCTGTTTTCTCTTTTCCACATCGAGCTTCTCTTTATGTCAAAATCTTTGAACTACTACTTGGAGAGCCATGATCATATCTATTTGGGGCCATGTATACCTATTCTTTGCTAGATGTGATCCCTTACCTTCCTACGCATCCCCTATAGATACCGAAACCTCCGATAAGTTCAAAGTCGTCTCTGACGTAGCAGGATTGCTTGCGTGCGGTTGAGATGGTGAGGTGAAGCTCAGAAGTTTCGAATACAAGGCGCTTAACATTTGCGTTGATTCAACCAGGGAGTTGTCTGGTTGACGCGCGTAGATGTCCATTTTATCATACCATTGACCTCATCATAATTCTAATCGCAAGAGCCTTTATTGCCGGTCAGAGTAAACAAAACACTAGGAAGGCTTCTTCATATCTCCTAGTGTGATTTTATCTGTATTGATGAATTCATTTAGACCTGGAAGTTCTCAACCTAGTAACTTTAACTAATAGAACGTTTGCATACACGCAGTACTGTAATGACGCCTATGTATGTCGCAGGCACATATCCACAAGAGGCACCTAATTACATAGACTAGATGGCTACTTACCTACTTAGAGGCAGGTATAAGTTCTTGTCGTTGATGCTCCGAGGTTACAGGTTCATCCTCAGGGTGCCTTGCGAGGACATACAAGTACCTACCTTGGTACCTAAGGTAGTTCACGAGGTGGGGTTAGGCCCCAAACATGCCTAGCAGCAGTTGCGCACTCTACTTACTCTGTGACACAACATTGAAACCGAGACAATACAATAATGCCCCGCCTCTTGAGCTCTCCGCACTAGATCCATTAGAACAGAAAAGAGCTGAAGTCGCCTCCGGAGAGTTGAGGAAGAGCGGAATTGGTACTTATTAATTATCCAGTACTTAGCCTAACACCAAATCGAGAACAGCAGCCATATGCTGAGGCACATACTAGGTACTTAGACCTAGGTATCGTTAAGTGCCTACCTACCTGTACTTAAGTACTAAGTAGGTAGATATTTTTGTAGTAGGGGGAATATAGATAACGGAGTATAAACTACCTTAGGTAGAGGTACCTACTAGTAACCTAATTACGAGCGGGATGGATTAAGTACCTAGGTACTCAGGTAGCGCAACAGTGCCAGACAAGGCCGTAATTACCAGCGACGCCATAACAATAGTTGAGTTTGATGGCGAATCTCGCAATCAAATGTCAATCATCCCATCTAAATTATCTCGTGTAATCATCCCTAGAAGCATGTTTTAGATAATTGTCACTATTTATGCTTCGCAACACTTTCTCAGGATTCTGATCGCCGCGGTAGCAACCCCAACTTGCTCTCTTTTGTGATCTGCCTACCTCTACTACTTACCTACCTACTAGGGTAGGTAGGTACTTACTGAAGTAAGTACCTAGGTACTCAGGTAGCTAAGCCAGTTGCCTTTGACCATTGACCTCTGTGGGAGCACCACCTTGGCCCGCAGCCAGGAGCGAGCTGTTGTGGGAGCTGCCCTCAGGCCCACTACCGCCGCCACCCACGGTCGTCAAACGACATCATCCACCGCCCGCCTTCTTTCGCCGCATTGATTATCAACAGGACTGGCCCGCGTGCCACGAATACAGACTCATCATCTCAGGCGACCGCCATCTTCCTCACCATCCACGACCGTCGCACGATCCTGGGACGCCTAGACAGTCTCCACGACGCATTTTGCTGTCGCCGTCACCATACCGCTTGGTCTCACCAGCCTGCCACAATTTTGACCCCAATCATCTTCGCTGCCGTTGCCACTCCCAGCAAAGATGGTGGACAGCGAAGTGAATTCTCCTACGTGGAAGTTCACACAGTATGTTACTTTCAATGGTGGTAGATAAAGCGCATACTGACCGAATCACTTCAGATGCTTCGGCGATAAAGGTGACGTTGAGGATATAACTGAAGGTGAGCAAGCCCTGCCGTGAGCGATCTATGCTGTTCCTAGCTTTTCTATCCGCTAACACTCGTCTCACCGCCTATCAGCTGATATAATATCTACTGTCGAGTTTGATCATACTGGAAATTACCTTGCCACGGGCGACAAAGGCGGTCGAGTGGTCTTATTCGAGCGGAACGAAACGGTATGGAATGCCCAAGAGGCTTAATTTCTCCTTCTTTGGCTCAAAACATAGATCCTACTGTATCCATTGACACAAGTTCTCAGAAGAAATCCTGCGAGTACAAGTTCCACACCGAGTTTCAATCACACGAGCCAGAGTTTGACTATCTGAAGTCTCTCGAGATCGAGGAGAAGATAAATAAAATAAAATGGTGTCGCCGTCAAAACGCGTCTCACTATCTTCTGTCCACAAATGACAAGACTATCAAGCTTTGGAAAGTATTTGAGAAGTCACTCAAGGTTGTAGCGGAGAATAATCTCTCGCATGACCTTACACCCGGTAGCGTGGCTGGCGGAGGTGTCTCGCGTCCGATGGCCACTACTCAGCACTTCCGAAACGCAGCAGACCTAAAGTTGCCGCGCCTAACACACCACGATACTGTTGTTGCTGCGGTCCCCCGACGCACGTATGCGAACGCTCATGCCTACCATATCAACAGCATATCAGTCAACAGCGATGGAGAAACGTTTATTAGCAGCGATGATCTGCGGATCAACCTTTGGAATCTCAACATACAAGACCAAAGCTTCAACATTGTTGATATTAAACCTGCTAATATGGAAGAGCTCACCGAAGTTATCACGGCCGCAGAGTTTCACCCGCAGAGCTGTAACTGGTTTATGTATGCCAGTTCCAAAGGCACCATCAAATTAGCCGATATGCGGGAGAGTGCACTGTGCGATCAACATGCCAAACGTAAGAATTTGACCACTCCACGTCCACCAGCCATTCGGAATCATTGAGCTAACCACCCATAGTCTTTGAACAGGAGGAAGACCCTTCATCCAGGTCATTCTTTTCAGAGATTATCTCATCTATTTCAGACGTCCGCTTTTCTTATGACGGCCGGTATATCTTGTCACGCGACTATCTCACCGTGAAAATTTGGGATATCAACATGGAACGTCAGCCCGTCAAGACAATACCTATTCACGAACACTTAAGGCCGAGACTTTGCGATACGTACGAAAATGACAGCATCTTTGACAAGTTCGAGGTAGTATTCTCAGGTGACGCGAAGAATGTCATGACAGGAAGTTACAACAACAATTTCATGATATACCCGTCAGACCCTGAAAAGGAAGTTGAAGTTGTTCTGCAGGCAGACAAGTCAGCCTTCAAGGCCAAAAAGGTTGGCGTCCCTACACCTATCAACTCCTCTACTAGCCCAACGACAAATGGGGGTAAAAAGAATGGATCTAGAGCCGGCAGTCCTGCAGGCGGTGCTCAGCGCATGAGAAAAGAAACGGACGCAGACCAGATTGATTTCAACAAGAAGATCCTGCACATGAGTTGGCATCCTTTCGAAGACAGCATCGCTATTGCAGCAACGAACAATGTATGACAACATTCCTTTCGCCCTTTTGTTGATTCCGAATGCTAATACTTTTTTCCCTTAGCTGTTCGTATTCTCAGCCTTATAAGTGCAAATTGTAGTTTATTATGGTTGTCAGGAGTGCTGAGGTAATCCACAACGAGCCAAAAGAAAGACAATTAGAGGGTCGTCAGCATTTGAATCTAGGAACCGGGTTGGCAGGTGGCCTCCAGGGCTCAGATCAGCAACTAGGGGAGGAACGTGTAGGGGCGTTATACCATAGGTCTGGTTTGTCAGAAGTCATCATTCAGTGCAGTGCTGAATCACCGCCCAAATGCAAGCTTTGCAAATCCCTCGATGGTTCGAGGATGACATTGGGCCAAGAGGCCGTAGGCGGTCAATTTCCGCGTCGGCAACGATAAAACAAATCTTCCGGGAAGGGCTGCCTTATTGATTGTTACACAACCAGATAACATAAAGCTAAGAGACTGAGCGCCTCGGATTCCATAAGATATGACATTCTCTGTACATGTGACATACAACAGAATCTTCACTTGTCCTCGTCGGATCGTTTTATGGGCTGATGCAACTGAAGAAGACAAGAGAAAGGGCGTTTTGTTCATAAACTATTTCTCGATAGGCCCCTAGGTTCATGTTCCATACTTATTGTGTTTTCAATGCAAGGTAAACCCTTTCTGGCCCAAGACATCTAAAGTGTCTACTAGACGGAGAACAAATTGCTTCAATCACAATTAGAAGGCAAGGAACAATGAACGCCATTGACAGGTGTACTGACCACATCTTCGGATCATTTCATGTTCAGAGGAGGTGTTGCGCATGACGGATGACTAATTGTCCTGCTAGGAAGAGCGTTTAGCGCTCACTAAGGCAAGTCAATCAGACCCACTTCAGGGTGAGCAATTTCAGGAGCCAGATGTCCGAACATGGGACAGGCATACCTGTACGTTGCTTGATTCATAAATTTGATCCATGTGCACGATCATATATCAGAATCTGTGGCAAAGAAACTGCTGCGGTATCTGCTTGTTGTTTCCGCTGCAAGTTATTGAGGCCAAATACCGTGAATGAAACGTATTAAAGGAGCAATCCCATTGTGAGTAACTCGGCTTACCTCTGATAGCACCGAGAGTTTTCATTGCTCACGAAACCTCACCTAGGCCCAGTTCTGATTGATGTCCAAGTAACACAATAGATAGACGAAATGGCGGAGGATATCGCACAGCATCGAAATGGAGGCGGAAACCACTCCAACCATGGCAAAGCGCTTCAGGCATCCATGAGGGCATTTATCGAGGTCGCACCGATTCTCACCGTGGCCGCAATGCTCAGCCTCATATTCGGGGGTTGCTGTTCTAATGTATGATATCCCATCTCCACTCCAACAAGATATGCATCAATTTTAATACTTATTGTGCTCAAGGTTTACGCTCTGGAAGCAATTATTAAGTATGGAATATCTCTCGTGTGTGGTCCTTCGACTTGAGGAAATATAGCTAACACGCCGCTGCGAAGCTTTGAGCCAGGAAGTGGTAGGGTCTTATCCATACATGCGCAATGATATCTCTAGTCGTTGGCTAATCCTCCTAGCAGGAACGCTCCTGACATTTGTACAATTCTGTTTCGTCGCGGTGACAGGATACGTAGTGCAACTGGACAAGAGTAGACCGCCACTCTTTATAGCGCCTGCCAAGGTTCCTTTACGGCGGTGGCTAATCAACATCGTGCTCTTTTTTTGTATCAATGTGCTAAATAACCACGCATTCAGCTACGATATTTCGGTTCCAGTACATATTATCCTGAGGTCAGGGGGTAGTATTACTACAATGATTGCAGGATACTTGTATGGGAAGAGATATGCTCGATTGCAAGCTATCGCCGTCATATTCTTGAGTGTCGGGGTTGTTCTGGCAGCTTGGTCGGATGCCCAAGAAAAGGTAAGTCACCTTGTTTTCAATAATTTCGCCTGCGACATGCTAACATGGAATGTGCTTTAGGTTGTTTTACAACGAGACTCTGGTCGCCCAGCTTTCAACTCTGGGCTCATCATCTTACTGGTAGCCCAAGTCCTCTCCGCCATCATGGGACTATACACGGAGGCAACTTACCGACAATACGGGCCCCATTGGAGAGAAAACCTATTTTACTCTCATATGCTCTCGTTGCCTCTCTTCCTTCCGTTCATGCCATCAATGATGCGAAACTTCAGGAGCATGATGCATAGCAACATACTGACACTATCAATACCTTGGGTAAACTCTTCAATCGCAACACCATTTCCAAGCCAACTTGCATATCTAGCCATCAACGTACTCACCCAATATGCTTGCATCCGTGGCGTCAACGTGCTTGCAGCGAAGTCTTCAGCTCTTACAGTCACGATTGTGCTAAATATAAGAAAGCTTGTAAGCTTGTTGCTTAGCATTTGGCTTTTTGGCAATTCCCTTGCCCATGGCACCCTCTTTGGGGCGATAATAGTTTTCATGGCAGGGGCATTGTACTCGCTTGGATCAGCACCAAAACAATACAGCGGTGGAAAAAAGGCTAACACTGTGGCGAAGCAAGAATAGTCCAACCATCTAGAGCGAGTAATCGAGATCACTAGATATTAGAACCTTCGTTTGGAAGTCCAAAAAAAAAAATTGAACAATTGTACATGAATCCCAACCCGAAGATCTTAGACACGGAAGACCATTTTCTGGCTATAGTCGTGCTCTCCTCCCCCACCCCAAACAGAAAAAAAACATGAAATAAAATATATTGCTCGTACAGAAACTAGTCTGCAGCCTAGTTCGGACCTTCAATGTTCAAATGTTGACTCATGCCGGATACAACCCCTGTTTTAATTGATGTATTAAAGTATTAATAAAAAAAAAGAAAAAAAGGCTAGTTAATCACCGGGACCCACTAGTAGCATAATCTGGTAGCCGTACCTGATTTAATTAATAGTAACACGTAATATAAAAAAATACTAAACGTATTACGATGCGTCAAACCTACTAGCTTAAGAGGTGATTCATAACCTTACGCGCCGGCAAAAGCCATCCAGAGACGAGAGACGGCCTCTGCTACTCAAAGCCTGGAACAAAACACAATAACAGTGACTTACGCCCAAAAAACTCAGAGCAATCCGACATAACATATATCGACGAGGTCTGCGCCCGACTTTCATAAGCCCATTATCTTCCCTGTAATCACCTTATTTTACATCTATACACCCAATTAAAATCAATTGCTCCTGTAAACAACGCAGCTACTCGTGGGTCTCCGCCTTTGCATCGCTCCCCGAAACACTGCAGCTCCTTGCTGACGTCGGACTCGGCACTCAACAACCTCATTTAATTGATGCATACTCTGAGTATAGGCACCTTCCGAAACCCCGACCCCTCGGACCCCGCCAATGGCCTGCCATGACCTGTAATGCCAATGGTGTCGGCATGGGTATACCGTACACTTGACCCAACACTACCATCAATCACGCTAGCTCAGAAATCCAAACGTCTCAATGCCAGTCGGCATAAAGGATAAACCTACCTAGGTACCCAACGCAATCCATTCAGCACATCACAGCGACGAGTCGGAGGGCTCACCTTGGCTTCAGCTAATTATCCCCATCTTTAGAACTCCAGCCCTCCACGTATTATCTGGTTCTCCATTTCAATCAAGAGACCTCAAGTCGCGTCCACACCAACATTACCACAGTTCTCGACAAATATTAGTGGCATCCTCGCAGCGTCTCCCGAGTAATCGATCGCATTGCCATCTGCGAAGAGCTGAATAAACTACGGACAACCAGTGTCCGCTTGTCACCTGGACACAACATGGCCGGTGAGTTTCCACGATGTGTTGCACAGTTCTGCTGCAAACTTTTTTCATGATCTTCTCAGTCCTATTCTTGATTATGTTACCAGATATTGTCTTGCATCTATTCATCACAGCTTGGCTAACGCTCAACATCCTGCAGATAACGCTCACGATTCTCGAACCCGGCCAGCTCGATGTGAAGATACTGAGCAGGACGATGCATACTTGAGAAATGACGAAACAGTCGAAGCAATAGAAAACGGCGAGGGGAGCTTTTCTCCTATGCCTGCAGACGAACAAGCTGGCTTGCAAGATGGCATGTTGTTACGAGATGTTCCGAAGCGCACAACCTTCTATGATCCTGTCGCGGAACGGCAAATGTCGCAAATGGATGCAAAACTCTTCTATCAGCGAAGCAAAATTGATCTTCGTAGTGGAACCGCAGGTGCCAGTAGTTGGACTCCTTCAAATCCCAACAGCCCGACACTGGCGTCGGGGTCCCGACCTGTTACAGAATATGGGACTGACTCTTTAATTCTTGACCAAGATGGAGGTGGGTTGGCAACCAAATAATCATGAAATGCCCACCAAGTGACTGACGCATTCAACAGTTGATGACACCGAAGTTTCCTCTATGCCTCAGAGCTTTGCTTACAATCATCCTGCCACTAGCTCCGGTGCTATTCCCAACTCTAGAAATAGTCAGAGCGAGGTGAATAATACCAGACTTGCTGCCGAGGGAAGCATGGCCGAATTTCCCAGCAACACTCTTTTCGATACCGAACCTCATGTTACAGCCGAGCTCAGTGCCATTTCTCAAAACATTCAGAAGGTTTTGGACTTGAGACGAAAGTACATTGCACTGTCGTCTCAAGGGCCAGATGACAATCCTAGAGACCAATCCAGCTGGGATATATATCCACCTCCACCTGAACCAGCCTGGGCTCAAACCAAGGGTGGTCGTACCAACTTTCCCGATGCGCTGTCTTCTGCCCAAACAGGGCATAATGACCACCGTCCTTCTTCCAGCTGGAGAAGGAAACCAGATCTCGATGTTGGAGAGGATTTCAACATGAACGACCTACTACCATTGCCCGGGGATGACGGTATGGCCTTCAGACTCGATGATAGTGGCGTCTATCAAGTGTTTGACAGTGATGACGCCACGCTGCCGGCAATCAAAGTTCCAACCATCAGGGAATTTTATATGGACCTCGAGAGTATTCTCACGATTTCATCGGATGGGCCCAGCAAGAGCTTCGCATTCCGGAGACTACAATATCTTGAAGCAAAATTCAATTTATACGCTCTGCTCAATGAGTACCAAGAAACAGCCGATAGCAAGAAAGTGCCACATCGAGACTTTTACAACGTTCGCAAAGTCGACACTCACGTTCATCACTCTGCTTGTATGAATCAGAAACACCTACTAAGATTCATCAAGAGTAAGATGAAGAAGTATCCAAACGAAGTAGTGCTATTCCGAGATGGCAAACATTTAACCCTTGCAGAAGTGTTTGCTAGTATCAATCTTACTGCCTACGATCTGAGTATTGATACACTCGATATGCATGTAAGACCAACATGGTGCCACTCCTGACGCACAAATGCTTGCAGACACTAACAATCCACTACACTAGGCACATACCGACTCGTTTCACAGATTTGACAAGTTCAATCTCAAGTACAACCCCATCGGAGAATCTCGGTTACGAACGATATTCCTTAAGACGGACAATTTTATCCACGGACGATACTTGGCAGAAATTACTAAAGAAGTTATATCGGATTTGGAATCAAGCAAATATCAAATGGTCGAATGGCGTATTTCCATATATGGCAAGTCCATAGATGAATGGGACAAACTGGCAGCTTGGGTGGTGGATAACAAGCTCTTCTCGCACAACGTGCGATGGCTCATTCAGATTCCCCGGCTTTATGATGTCTACAAAGCAAGCGGTCTCATGGAAACGTTTGAGCAGATAGTCAAGAATGTCTTTCAGCCACTTTTCGAAGTAACGAAAGATCCATCCAGTCACCCCAAACTACATATCTTTCTGCAGCGAGTCATCGGGTTTGACAGCGTCGATGATGAAAGCAAGGTAGAACGACGGTTGTTCAGAAAATTTCCTGTTCCACAGGTATGGGATTCCAAACAAAACCCCCCTTATAGCTACTGGATCTACTATTTATTCGCCAATGTGGCTTCTCTAAACCATTGGCGCAAGAAGCGCGGGTTTAATACCCTCGTCATGCGCCCGCACTGTGGCGAAGCAGGCGACAGTGAGCACCTCGCAGTAGCCCTTCTCTCATGTCACAGTATTAGCCACGGACTATTACTCCGCAAGGTTCCTCTGCTACAATACGCGTTTTATTTAGAGCAAATAGGAATTGCCATGTCGCCTCTCAGCAACAATGCCCTTTTCCTGGCATATGAACGGAACCCATTTCACCAGTACTTCAGACGTGGGCTGAATGTTTCGCTCTCCACAGACGACCCATTGCAATTTGCGTTTACCAAAGAGCCGCTCATAGAGGAGTATGCAGTCGCCGCGCAGATCTATAAGCTTAGCTCTGTGGATATGTGCGAACTGGCAAAAAATTCAGTCAAGCAAAGCGGATACGAAGCATCCATTAAAAGGATGTGGCTTGGACATAATTTTGAAAAACCAGGCAAGGATGGAAATATGATGGTCAAGACCAACGTCCCCGATCGCCGAGAAGAATTCCGATATCACACCTTACTTCAAGAGAGAGACGTGTAAGTATTCCCAAGCCAGAGCCAAGATACTGAGTGTGAAATTTTCGAGATTCGTGTCTGACCTCGTCGCAGATTACGGCGATATGTGGCATATGATGGAACTAAAGAACCGAGCTCGACCGTCACATCAGCAGATATAGCAGCCTGTAGAGCAGCCTCTCGGGCGGACGAGCCGTTAAAACCGGCAGGAATTGGCGAGAATACACTTTGGGCTCAGGCTAGGGCTACAAGCGTGGGCGTCAAATCTCCCCTCAACGGCGAAGCCAGCCGCGACTCCGGAAGGGGTCCACATGCTATGGCAGATTTACACTTATCTGGAAGCGACCCTAGATTGTTCCCCGGAATTTTTACTCGGGATCACCGATCTGAGAGTCTGCGAAGCTTGCAACAGGCCGATGAATGGGTCGTTGACTCAAGTGGGGCGCCTGGGGATGACGACGAAGACGAGTTATAAAAGTCTCTTGAATCGGTACAAACCTGATGCTAGTCAACCCCTACTAATAGGAGGCTTTGAAGCTACGTTTTGTCAATGACAGCACTTTCGGTAAACAGAGTGTCAAACTTAGAAGAGAGAGAAGGCGAGCAACCAGGTCGAAGAAGAGTCTGAGAAGCTGAATATAAGGCGAACTGTTGTGAACTAGACGATGGACGATTCTGTTCTTGAGCTAGATGCTTGGTTTAACCCGCTCCTGAAAAAGAAGTTTTTTTTCTTTGGGGGGCTGGTTCGGTTATACAGGGACAATGTTAAGCAATAGAGCTTAACAGGATCATGAAGTGTTCAATATCAGTAATCTAAACCCCAGGCATGAACGCCCAACTGAAATGCATTGAATCGCCCACAACTATCTGGTTGACATCATACTTTTAATAGCAAGCATAGACTCTTGGACACTCTTGCTAGTTATTGTGGTCGTAATTCGAAGAAGATCTGATTTTCTAATTTTTCTAATGCAGGGCGTTCCATGCGTCACCGAGGAAGCCATGTCGGCCCACCAAGTCGCGACCACCCCTTGTAAGTTGAGAGTGAGCTTACCTAACCTGCTGCTCCAACGTCGTCACCACCCACCTCCTCCACCACAATCAACTTACCTGCCTGTACCCATTCCCTCCGCTTGCCTCTCCTTACCTGCCGAGCTCGCGTCATTGCAACGCAATATACGAAAAATCCAGGAAATCTTGGTGGTGCGTAGCACACACGCGCCATCTCCCTAGCCGACGCCGATATGGGATTTCTAGGTGTGTACACAACTATTTACGATTATGAACCACGAGCCGAAGGCGAGCTGGCCATTGCCGAAGGTGATGTGCTCTATGTCCTGGAGAAGGGCGAAGATGATGGATGGTGGAAAGCCAAGAAAAAGGCCGGTGTGGAGGATGAAGATGAGCCGGTTGGTTTAGTACCAAATAATTATGTGGAGGAGGTAGGTTCCGCGAAGAGCATTTCAACTCGAGTGAGACGATCTCATGCTAATAATTCTTGGTATTTTAGGCTCCGATTGTCAGCCATGCCCGCGCTATTTACGAATATACCCGCCAGACAGATGAAGAACTTTCTTTTCCTGAAGAAGCCGTACTGCAAGTGTTCGACACGTCCGACCCTGACTGGATACTTGTTGGTCTTGACGGCGAGTATGGGTTCGTTCCATCAAACTACATTGAGATGCAAGAAGGCACAACCCAAGACTCTCCAAGCTTGCCTGCGCCACCCGCATTGCCAGTAAGGCCGCACTCGGTAGCCGCACCGAAAGAATCACCGTCCAACACAACTTCGTCCCTGTCGACACCGGCGGCTGCTTTAGCAAGTGTCATCCAAGGAAAAGCCAGGGCGTCGACGCAAAACCCATCCTCACCGCCTACCCAACAGCCGACAGGATACCAGACACAACATGACGATTCTCGTCCGTCAGAGGATCGTGAGGATAACCCCGAGCCTCGTTCTCCGGCACTGCCTTCCCGTCCCCGACCCACAAGCACAATTGATCATACCCCGGAGCGCTCATCTTCTCGACTAGAGGCACGCGAGGCTCAGCTGACAGAGGAACCATATCGAACACCTGGAGGGTTCCACATGTACAATATCAACGAAATGGTGTCTGTGATGGGCAAACGGAAGAAAATGCCTACAACCTTGGGCATTAATTTAGGCACAGGCACAATTCTCATTGCTCCTGAACGTGCTGAAGACGACCCTCCACAAGAATGGACTGCGGAAAGGATGACGCATTACTCCAGGGAGGGCAAGCATGTTTTCATGGAACTCGTCCGTCCCAGTAAAAGCATCGACTTCCACGCTGGCGCCAAAGATACAGCGGAAGAAATTGTGGCAGCCCTAGGTGAACTCTCTGGTGCAGTGCGTGCTGAAGGTTTACGAGAGGTGATTATGGCGAGCTCGCAACGCAGACAACACAAAGGGCATGTTCTGTATGATTTTATGGCACAGGGGGATGATGAAGTTACTGTTGCAGCTGGTGATGACGTTGTCATCATTGATGATTCCAAGAGTGAAGATTGGTGGCAGGTCCGACGAGTGAAGAATGGCAAAGAGGGCGTCGTACCCAGCAGCTATATCGAAATATCCGGAATCATGTCTCCACCGGCTTCAATCAATTCCGGGATCGACTCTGCTAGGGCAACTGTGGAGCAAAACCGGCTCGAGGAGATAAGGTTAACCAAAGAGGCCATAAGAGCAAGCAAGGAGCCTCAGCAGGTAGGACATGGGACGCCTCTCCCTGAAAGAGGTAGCAGCCTTGTAGCCGGAGAAAATGGTAATAATTCGAGGCAACAGCGAAGCCGGCGGGAAAACGGACGCAACGAAGTCGGAAATCATCACAAATCAAAATCAAGTTTGTCAATCCCCCAGGACTTCTCTAATGAATAAGATATAATCGAATTAACATTAACCCTAGAGCCTGACATTTCTAAGTTACGAACATGGACCGATAGATCAGGCTCCTTCAGCGTTGAGGCACAGTTCCTCGGGCTCAAAGACGGGAAGATCCACTTACACAAAATGAACGGAGTCAAAATTGCGGTTCCGATTGCGAAAATGTCACGCGAGGACCTGGAATACGTTGAGAATGTAACTGGCATTTCTTTGGATGACGACAAACCATTAGCGGATGTCAAAAGGACGAAATTGATGGACAGACGGCCTGCCGAGGTCGGCGCATCGGTTAGCAAGAATCCCAAGCCAGAGTATGACTGGTTTCAATTTTTTCTTTCTTGCGACGTTCCAGTTGGATTATGCGAACGATACGCCCAAGCCTTTACAAAGGATTCCATGGATGAAAGTGTACTTCCCGACGTTAACGCCACAATCCTTCGAACGCTCGGTCTGAGGGAAGGAGACATAATCAAAGTCATGCGCACATTAGACATGAAGTTTGGCCGAGAACGTAACGTTCAAGACCCCGAAGCAAATGCCGGGGGGCTCTTCTCTGGCCCGGGGGGCGCTCTTCGAAACAATACTAGAAAAGGACGACCTGCGCCGGCGGTGCAAACAAGCGACGTGGTAGATGCTGCTGCCTTCTCCAAGGATGACGTTGGATCGCCTGGTCCTAGTTCTCGGAATGCTGCATCTCCTTCTGGGACTAGTCCCACCAGGACTGACAACAAAAAAAGTGGTTTTGATGATGATGCCTGGGACGTGAAGCCCAGCAGTTTCCCTGCAGGCACCGCAGACAAACCAGCAAAGCCTGTTGCTGCAGCACCTGCAATGCAGCCAACAACAGCCTCGAACTCAGGTGTTACGCTGACTGGCTCAATTAAGGAATTGTCGCTATTGACAGAGCCCCTTCAGCCAAGCAAGGTGGAAGCGGTATCTGCTGCAGAGCTACGCCAACCAGTTGAGCAGAAGGAGGAACCCTCAGTACAGAATCTTCCTAGCGTGAGTCCGACATTTTTCTCAACTGTGCCCAGCTCTAACGGAACCGGCCCTCTTGCCTCGCAAGCTATTACTGGGATCCCTCCAAGGCCTGTTGCGAGACAGCGGCCTGCACCCCCATCAATATCACCAAACCAGACCTCTTTGGTATCGCCGCCCCCGCAAAGGCCGTTATCAGCACCTCACTCGGCCCAGTCAGCTACTTTCTCGCCTCCAGCCTTGGCACCTCAGATGACTGGCTCTGTTCAAGGACAAGTAGCACCTCCAGGCCAAAGCCTCGGCGATATTGCCCAAGCCAGGTTGCAACAACAGTATACCTCCCAGTTTCAACAGTTGCAGCCTGCCATGACTGGCTATATCAGCGTCCAGCCGCCGGGCATAACATCCTTCTCTGCTGGCATTCCAGGGCAGCAACAATTCATGCATCCTATGACGACAGGCATTTCCGGGAATCTCAATCGTCAGGCTCAATTTGTGCCAATTCAAACTCAACCGACAGGGTACCAAGCATCATTCCCATCTTCAATTTCAGGATTTCCACAAGGTATGGCGGCGACTGGCAACATAAATAGCTTCTTACCCCAAGCATTAGAACCACAACGTACAGGAGTTCAAGGCATACAGCCTCAACAGACCAGTATAGCAGGTGGCAGTAGCTTTGTACAACCATTGCAGCCTCAAAAAACAGGGCCTCCGCCTCCGGTTCGCTTCGGAATCTCTTCAGATCCGAAAAAGCTCATTCCCCAGCAAACTGGTAGACGAGCCAACTTATCTCAAGCAAGTAAGTGCAGAACGCAGTCATCCAAAAAATATTCTGTGTCTTATCTAATTTCTTAAAGCTCCTGACAATCCTTTCGGTTTTTAATGCCTAATTTACACAGTGCTGGTTCCTGGAGCAGCTCATTTGTATTATGTCAGCAGCTCTGACATGTCATCTTGCCGTTGAATTGCAGTTAAGTGTTTCCTTATTCGCCATGTCGGGCGCCAATTGAATGAAACACACCATTTCTCGTGCAATGGGTTTAAATCGCCTTGCGTACTCGCACCCAAAAATTGTGGCTATTAAGCATTATAGATAGCGTACGACTTTCTTTCCGTTCTTATTTGTTGACTAAAATCTGGATGGGGTAGCCTTCAGATATATCCGATCTCTCTCCATTTGACCGCCACGCTATACAGTTTTGATTCTCTTATCGCAAGAGCGTTTAATGGCGGCACGTACCGATGTTCTATTCTTTTGGTTGGACACGGAACGGTGATTCGATACAATTTGTACATATTATGCGATCGCAGTGGACAAGATTTAATGACTACTACATTCACCAATATATATTAAGAAGACGCAGATGAGGACACAGGTGTTTCCTTGTGCGTCCCTGTCGTTTAAAAGTCAAATGCCCAACGTTCAGCAGTAGGATCAGCTACACATTGATACTCTAATCATCGTATCATCAGATATAAATAGAGCAGTCAAAGTCGTATTGGCTAAGCTTCCATTCTAATACAAGAACAGCTAAGACTGACCGTTGCTTTGTGTATCTAGAACCATGTATTCAAAATCCGGGAAACATCAGAAGCATCGAAACCTGCATGGACGAGCATTATATACAGGCCGAGGGGCTGTCGAATCGGGAGGCATGATGAAAGAGAACTTGATATGTTCAATGCCCTTCACTCAAGCCTTTCGTCGATGTAGATTCGCGGATCCACCAGAGACGGCAGATGCAACAGAAGACATGTCAACTTCCACCTCAGTCTGCGGTTGCTGGCCGGGTTCGAAACGCTTGCGAACGGCCTTGACCATCATGATGAACCAATAAAAGTTCAGGCCATTAAGAGTAAGGTTGCTTGCCAGGTAAACAGCCCCAAGCCACGGCGGTATGGTGGAGACATCGGTTGCAAATCGCATGGTCATCAAATGTAGTGATGAGGGAGAAGGGTGCCCGTTTATTGCGCTCCAGATATCCCGGAATACCATGACTGACTGGTATGTACCGTATATCAACCGACATGAGAAGAAGCTAGATAAGAGGAGAAATCCGTTGTATAGTTGAGCCTTCGATCCCGTCATGCCAAGCTTGTCCATGAACCAGTGAATGTTTAGAAAGGGTGTCGACAGCTCCCAAAGAATGAAAATGCATCCATAATAGTTAACAAATGGCCGCTGTGGAAAGTTAGCAAGTCCATCATCCTCAAAAACTTACTTTGCGTTTCTGTCATTGGAGATGAGTCGGGGGTATTGCCTTACAAAACCAAGGGAGAAGACGAGCAAAGCCGCAATCGCATGTGCCAGAGTTCCAAGTCCAAATACATCCAGGTTCATGCTGGTGACGATGAGGTCCCATACAAAATACCCTGCGGCTAGAGCCTGAATCATGCTTGTCGCCCCTGTATACCCCCATATACGCTCTTCCCATGACATTTCCCTCCTCTCATCATCTGCGATCATGACCCATATTGCCAGACCATTGATCAGTGTGGCTTGGATCATCGATACGACATGTGCATCCCAGTTCAGGCGTCTCTTCCGAGGCATTGTTCTGTAGTACTTTGGTGCTAGAATCTGAGACACAATTGGCGAAATCGGGTAGAAAATAACGGAGTAGAACAATGCACCGAGGATAATTTCGTGTATGTGCAAGGACAATGTTGGCAGACTCAGCCAGTCGCACCAGGGCTGTACCATTTTAACCAACCATGGCAGTGGTTCGATGAAGAATGGGTCCTTCATGTTATAATGATTGTCTCCGGGCCTCCTCCACGCTCACTGATTCCTTGTGTCTTGGCTATGTACGGGTGCTGCTCTTGAGCGCGGTTGGAACGAGCTTCCGATGCGTTGAGCAGGTACCCAAATAGACGACAATATGGGAGTTTTGGCGATAATAGTTAGGTGCCTGGGTAGCTATGCTTCGGTAGTGGTATGTCACCAGGCAGGACGATAGGGGATGGATGTGTGCGAGTTTGCTCTTCGTAGTATCGCCTTGCCTGGCAATATATATTGGTCCGCGTCTTGGGCCTGTTAGGCTTACTAGCCATCAAATCAGTATACGTCTAGTCCCACGCAAGGTGCTGCGGGTCCGGTGGCAGTGGGTTCAGGGTGCTGTCCGGGCCAGATTTGTTGGGGAAGTCCTGCACGTGAGGTCTCCGCCTGGCTGTGTCATGGGTTATGAATTGATACTTCCAGTTGTCCAAGATCCCGAGACTCCACAGTGCACGGAACTCTGGTGACAAACAAAACATCAGAAAGCCTCAGTGTGGACGTTGCTGCTTCAATGTTGGCTTCGATTACGTCTCGTCCAGCAATGAGTCTGCCGCTTTCACACACATTCCACCTTACTTTTTCCTTATATGCTCGGATGGTGGTCCTTTGTGGTTGTTCGTTATCTTCAGTTGTCTCTACATGGTCAACTAGTGCGCCCCGGGATCACGAACTGGTATTTGGGCGGGATGTCTAGTGCTGCTGGTACACGATCTGACTTTTCTGTGAGGCCGGGTGCTGTCTTTGTCATGGCATATGCCTCGCTGTGGCGCGCTAAGTGTAACAATATACGTATTTCCTCTGGTGTCGTGACCACCAGTACTGGTCCTTTCGGTGTCGACTCGCGCCTGGTAGAGAGAGCACGTCGGAGCGAATAAGCAGGTCTCGTGCGGTTGATGCCACTATGCCCGTGTGATGCCGAGGCGGGATACGGAACGCTCCTGGAGCCATCGAGGACCGAGCATAGTATATTGGCCCAGGTGCTTGTGGCTCCGTGCTTGCTCGAACCTTGTTCAATAGGTACTTTAACCAGCCCTTTTTGTGTCTTGCCTCCGAGCTCCTTGTATGCCTGCTTTATCTTGGTACCTACCTGGGTAGGTAGCTGTTCCTGCGCCGTGTGAACGTTCCCCTTTTCTTACGACGGTGGGCACGGAATCCTTCCGCTTGTCATAATAGAAGCACTGTTATCGAGGCAGGGAGTCTAGCATAACGAAAGACATGCGAGGAGAGCTATGGACGAGGGCAAATCGATGACCAACAAAGAAGGCTGGCGAAGGGAAGTAATGGCCAGGGCAGCAATAGCAATGCGAAAACACAGGAACACAACCGAAAAACATGACTGTGACATAGGGTAGGTGGAGGCCGTGACGGACATATATCCGCTGATTGGGAGGAAGTTGCGGTCCACTTGCGTCCACCAAACTTGATCTGTTGTTCATTCACCAGTGTAACCAACCACACACTTCGGGACCAAATACCGGTATATGTTGACTGAAAATACATAGCCTGATACCACAGACTCGGGAAAAGGCCGCCTTTATATTAAATAAGCCGTGGCTGCACTCGAACACCACTAGCTGGCTGCGTGTACAGGCAGCTGCGAGACAATAAACCAGGCAAGTGATATATGGTTCCAGCGCTCGGCACTCAATTCTGAGATAGAGACACACACACACACACACACATACAAAGACAATTCGACCTGAGCCACGGCGCAAAAAAGGCAGCACCTGTTGCCTGCATGCCACAGCCAATTCATTCAACATGGCAGAGGCCTTGAGCGATCGTCTCCTGGGACAGGGAAAAGCACTTGATGCGACCGTATTGTCTTATCTGACCTACCTGGCGGGACAATCAGTCGAGTCCATACGAACCACAGAACCACAACAACTCTCACAAGCATCAAATTCGTTGCTACTATCCGTGCAATCATTGTCCAAAAAATCACACAGGCCCATTGTCGAATCAGCCGCTAGTCACTCAGCGCTACGCCAGCTATTTGCCCTGCTGGCCAAAAGAACAGGCGAACTGACGCATACAGTCCCAAGGCTTGATCAGGAGGCAGAACTATTCTCTTCCGAGTTTGGCAAAGCCAGCGAGAACAGCAGCATCACAGAGCGGAAGAAGGCACTCCGTCTCCTACAGAATGGGGAGAGACTAGTCGATATGATGGAGCTCCCACAGCTTCTCAACTCTGCTGTCACATCCAGCCCGGTCAGTTACTCGTCTAGTCTCGACCTGTATGCACATGTTCGTCGCCTTGCATCCCTATACCCATCCTCGCCTCTTGTCGCATCGGTGCTGGACGAGGCAAACTCAGCCATTAGGCGAATGGCAGTCGACCTAATAGCTACGTTACAAACACCCAATCTCAAACTCGCTCCAAGCCTCCGTACGATGGGCTGGCTCAAACGAATTGTCCCCGAGCTTGTTACCAATATCCAAACAGAGGAATCCCTGCCTGCGATATTCCTTGTGTGTCGACTTAGCACACTGATTGCCACCCTAGACGCACTGGACCCTCTAAAACAACTGGCAGACGAGGAGCGCATACGAGACGTCAAGATATCTCAAGCATGGTCCGGGGGCCAGCACACCGAGCGGTATCTCAAGCGTTTCATCGAAGTATTTCGCGAACACAGTTTCGGCATGATATCGGTTTCCAAAAGCGTGGATTCCAGTTTTTCCCATTCGGATAGCGCAGCAACCGACCCGATGAATCCTCTGCCTAGTGTCCTTACTAGCTTTCCGTTGCACCTGATAGGTCTTCTGATGGACACCTTACAAACGTACCTACCCGTCATCAAAGACCAAGCCTCAAGAGAAAGCATTATGACACAAGTTTTGTATTGTGCTGGAAGTTTGGGTCGGCTAGGCGCGGACTTTGGCATGTTTCTGTCAGCTATCGGAATGGCGGAATGGGTAGAGCTGGTTAAACGACACAGACTGTTAGCAGGCCGACTTGAGTCCGTCATTGGCGAACATCGGACCAGCCAGACTACTCCCACCAGTTTGGTTATTAGAGATATGCATTAAATGGTATTTAGGTTGACCGGTCAAGTATTAATGTTCACGCGTGGCCCCTGTTTTTGGTTAGAGCGATAAAGCACAAGCGGACTTTTCATACATCTACGGAGCAATTTAAGTTATTTTGTTTTTGAATTTCTCCCTAGAGCTTCTAAAAGTTGAGCCCAATAGACGTGGTGCTGTTGCCAGGCTACCTACCTAGTACCTAATTTACCTAGTACTAAGTACCTATTGGATAGGTAGATGTCAAGTACCTTTCCAATGCAGGGTACTGGACTTCTCACGTAAGCCTGTGGTTGATTTGGCCGCAGCTCCATCCGCCTGCGTACTCCACGTGCTCTCATCACAGAGCAGCAAGTTCTTTGCCAGACGTATCCATCCAGTGATCTTGTGTGTAGAGCCTACAACACAATGGGAAATTCCTTTTCAGTGAAATGAAAAACAACAACACGCCTGTGCGAGCTAAATCAGGTACGAAAACAATGGCATCATAGGGATAACGTGGGCCGCCAAAACTTACAAATCGACTGTAGCGCAACACTTCGTTTCTGGGCTTGGTTCTGGCATAGCATCTGCGGTTATTCTGCAGCCTCTAGACCTGCTTAAAACTCGAGTACAACAGTCTGGTACCTCATCTCTTTCCACCTGTTGGCAAGATATACGCCACTCTCCCCACGTTGCACGCAGTCTCTGGCGAGGAACCGTACCCTCCGCCCTCCGAACTGGGTTTGGATCGGCTTTGTATTTTACTTCCCTCAATGCCATACGCCAACACGTACAGCAAACAAATACCCTGGGACGGCACCACAATAATCATAATGCCTCCTCGGCACTCCCTACTCTTACTATTTGGGCGAATCTAGCCTCTGGCGCCGTAGCCAGGACATTTGCAGGCCTTGTTCTCATGCCCCTGACCGTTATCAAGGTTCGATTCGAGTCCAACCTTTACTCTTACACATCGGTTGTCTCTGCCGCTGCTGATATCCGGCGTCGAGACGGGTTTCGGGGCTTTTTCTCGGGGTTTGGAGCTACGGCCATCCGAGATGCGCCGTACGCGGGAATGTACGTGTTGTTTTATGAAGTGCTCAAGACCCAACTCGGCTCGATAGCCGCGTCTACAATTCGTGTTGAAGGTAAACAACACAAGATGACGGCATCTATGGCAAGTACTGTTAATTTCGCATCCGGAATCCTAGCTGGCGCCGCTTGTTCTGTTATATCAAATCCTTTTGACGCAGTTAAGACCAGGATCCAGCTGCAACCACGGCAATACAGGAATGTGTGGCAGGCAGGGTATAAAATGATCACCGAAGATGGCCTGCGATCTCTTTTAGATGGGCTGGCATTGAGAATGAGCCGCAAAGCGCTCAGTTCCGCATTGGCCTGGACGGTGTATGAAGAGCTCATTCGTAGGTTTGGTGCGTCATGAATGTCTAATAGCAAATGCATCCTATGGAGGTAAAACAACCCAACTCAGCGTCTATATATATGTGTATGTGTGTGTTTGCGTGTGTGCACGCGTGTGTGTTTGTGTAAATAGAGCAACTCTGAATGGTAGGCTAGCTAATGAAATATCTCCAAAGGGAGGAGCAGAGAGAGATAAAGAAGACAAGGAACGAAGCAGGCTCGGGGCGATCAATACAATTCATTTAAATTAAGAGAAATGACAAAACAAAGATAAGCATAACTTCTATGGAATACTTGTGAACGGCTGCCCACTAGAGAACCTGACACACATTTCGAACGAAAGAGAAACGAAAAAAAAGGGTTGTTATTGGGGGGAGGGATAACGGGGAAAGACAAAAACAAAAAGACAGAAACGCCAAAGCGAGAGTCAAACGGAAGCCCTTTCTTGCTACTCATTCTTGCTATTCCCCTCTTAGGCAGGCTTGGCTCCAGCCAGATACATCAGAAGACCACCAGGAGACTTGCTCCTTTTACGATCACTCTTCTTGCGAACCCACTCAAACTGAGGTTCGTGCCGGTGTGTCTTTTTCTCCTCAATCAACAGAGTGCTACTCCGTTTCTCACGGATGTATTTCGTGTGCCGCCAGAATTGATCTTGTTCCCACTCTGGAACCCACCGCTTAATCAGAATATACTCGGGGTCCTTGTTTATCCCAAATTAGAAACAAATCAAAATCCTGCAGAGACGATCGGAGAATAATTACTTACATTGTCAATGTCGAAATCGATATGGAAGGTCCTTAGAGTCTCGATGGACAAATGCCTACGGGCCATTCGAGTATAGGTGGGCCTATGGCCTGGCTCAGGTGCATTAGGTACCTTTTTCTTTTCAAGAATGGCCGAAATGGCCTTCTCGTCTAGGCCAGATTTCAACAAGTCTTCCTGCATGCGACGTTTGTATTCCTTTTCTTCCTGTTCCTTGCGTAATTTTTCCGCAGCCATTCGATCCGCCTCGAGTTTCTTGTAGCGTTCCACTGCCTCGGCAGCCTCCTTGTTGCGGCGCTTCTTTTCTTCCGCCTCCTCCTCCTCCTCTTTCAGCCGTTTCAGCTCCAGCTCTCTCTTGATACGCTTCTCCTCCTCGGCCCTGGCCTCACGCTGTTTAATCTCGTCCAGTTCCATCTTGGCACGTTTCAGCTCGGCCTCATCTCTAGCCTCTTTTGTTAAGCGGCGTTCCTCCCTATCCCGCGAATTCTCAAGGCGGAGTCGTTCAAGTTCACGACGAGCAAGTTCAGCCTCCCATTCCTCTCTAGTAAGGCGTGACCTCGACCTCGACCTCGACCTCGAATCGGAGCTGCGACGACGATAAACGACTTGCCGACGTCGTCGATAGTCGTCATCATCATCCGAGGAGTGCTCACCGTAGAACCGGTTATTGATAATCACTGGCTGGGCTGGGGCTGGCACAGGGCTGGGCGGGCTGGCTCTTCGATCACGGGATCTGTCGTGGGAACGAGAACGCGCAACGACGGTCGTGTGCTGTTCCGGGACTAGATAGCTAGGCCCAGCAGGTACACCATAATAATTTCGTGGTCGCTCGACATATCTAACAGGCCGAGGAGAGTGGCCATGGTGACGGATGCGAACATCCACATCCTCGTCGTCAGAATAGTAACTCATAGTCAATTACCACGACGTTATATAATCCACACGATGGAGAGGATCGTCTTTAAATAATGATGAATATTGGAATCGTCGCCAGCCAAATTCATGCGGGGATTCTCGAAGAAAAAGTGCGAGCGAAATGCAGACAAGGTGGAAAATCTGGGACCAAATTCACCTAGTTATCTACCTAGGTATGTACATATGTAAGACGCATGAGAGGGTTGAGGGGGAACTGAAGGCCCAGGACATTTCTCTCGTAGGGCTGGAGCGGGGGCGGCGGCGGGCGCAACCATGGCTACATGTAGGTAGGGGTGGTTCAATGTTGTCTTTTCTCAGCTCAGTTCAGGCGGCTGTAGGCGCGGGATGATTGGCTAGCCCGAGGTTGCTAAATTTGCACAGTTAGGGTCAGCGAGCTTCGGCGACACGCAAACGGATTCTTGAATGGCTCTCCTTCGTACTGGAGGCATTGTACGAGCCGTCATCGTAAAATGGCTGGCTCAAACTTGTCCAATTCACACGAGCGGAAGGCCCAGGGCAACCGCTCACTCACTACCTAGGTAGGTACATAAGAACCTTGTCTGCCCACCCCTCAAAGGCTCTCTCTAACAGGTATCCCAATACCTACCTAGGTATCTAGGTAGATAAATCTCAAGTGCTCAAGTAGCAACAGGCTGCGCTTCTTGTTAAGCGGCAAAGACAATAACAAACGACGTGGCGCGTGTTAGGTCGCGGATAAGCAAGTTCCAGCTGACGTAAGGTTACCGCTCTGGTTCAAAGTTTGATGTGCCGTTTGTCCATACTTGCAGGTTGCTCTGCGCAAGCTTGGCCACGCAAGGCAGCTGAACCATAGCTTCAGCGACCGCGGAGCATCTGTTCAATGTGCTCGCGGCTGTTTTTGTGCGTGGTTTCAAGATATAGAAGACGTTGGTTAAGCTTGTCCACGTCAGAATCTAAATCCTGCGTTTGACCCTCCAGCTTCCGTCGTAAAACTGGAAGGGGAAGTGACGCAAACCTGAAGAAGGATTGGGATTCTTGTTAGTGATCGAAATATTACCGCAGTGTATGTAAATCAAAATGCTTGAGCTCACATCTTGCCGACGCCTTCGTAAACTACCGCCTCCTCCGGAAGGCTCGCCAATTCGCTAAGGGTTAGGCTAACCAAGCGTTGCTCGCGCTGCTTTGCAGCCATTTGAGTTCGTGCCAGGCCAATTTGTTGTTGTGCAGCCACTGCCTGGGTCTCGATTTCGCGAGCAAGCTGGAAAATGTTAATCAACACTGTCGCTTGCTCAAGCCGAAAGCAAGATTATGCAGCTTGGTGCACGCATGTACCTTGTGAAGAGCCTCATTCGAAATGGACATGATGTTGGTACGTAGAAATTAGTAGTCCGTCGATGGACCTGAGAAGGCAAATCCGGAAACGCGTAAGCTTGAACAGAATAGAGAAGCTTGAATTTTGCCAGGCTACGCCTTTGTTGACGGAATCGAATGACGAGGTTGGAGGATTGACGGGTGTACCTGGCACCGATCCGAGTCTGCGAACGAACTCGCCACAGCTAGGGGGATGGATGTAAGTGGCGTTACTCCGTACTTTCAGCCGCGATTTTCGGTGGGCGCCTCGATGCTGCCAACCGCTCGTCCAACCAGTCGCCATTTTAGGTGGTCGACTATATCTTTGGCTAAGGGGTTCTACATATAGTATTTAGCTAGAAGAGGAATTCTCGTCTATTTTAAAAATAAATCTTGACATATAGAACCCAGGCCATTTTCACCCGAGCCAAGGTTTGGTTGCGCGTGTCGCCCAGGTGTTAAGCACCCTGTATGCTTGGAAAAAGCATCCCAGCTACAAGAACCCGTAGCGCTGGAAACTGGAAGCCATATATCATCCATCAATGGTGCTTTGCCTTACCTTGAACCTTTCGTATCTCCGGGATGGATGCGAGGAGCCTTGGCCAGTATAGAGTGTACCCCTGGCTTTGTCCCAGGAGGCAGTGACGCAGCCAAATGCCCCAAACAATATAGTAATAGGCTAGAGAGGAAATGAAACTCCCGTGTTAGTGAGGTATCTTCAAAGTGCTATGATATCTGAAAGGGTAGATTTGCATGTGACTCGTATTACCTCCTACACACTGATTATTAGCCTGCTTTTCCCACATCATATTTGTATAAGAAACCAAAGAGCCTGGTGACCATACCTAGGCCCGTCATCAAGTGCCACCAGCCATGACCTTCTAGAAGAATGGCCCACGGCAAACCGATTTGCCGTCGCCACCCGCGTAGTTGCGAGCAGAATATGTTATCAAGGTTCCAAATGGCATAGCCAGTGAGGAACACAGTAAGGCCTGGTGTAGGATCTGCGCTTAGCAAAATTACACATCTCTCTTACGAAAGCCGCGTATCTCACCCGTAGCGACCAATGCCCACATGGTCTTGAGTATATACCGAGCTCTGGCAGCATCTTCTGCTTGCAACGAGGGCCGCACTTGTACTTCCATAACCCATATACTGCGAATCAAAACAGTAGCGGTCAGAACCGCATAGGCAGCTTGGTGAAACGCCGGATCTTTTGTGGCATGATAATACAGCTAGGAACGTCATTCATTAGTAGGAGGATATCTTCCGTCGTTCCGGAAAACAAGCAAAGCTCACCGTGATGAACACGGCCAATGTTGTCAGGCCAACCCCCAACTTGACAGCAAAGACCCGGGATCTTGAGACTGCGAAACTCGCATAAATCATCAAACAAGTCGTATATATCATACCAAGCTCATCCACGAGTTGCACCGGATCTATGTATCATCTCATTAGCGTTTCCCATCGTTGCCCCTGCAGTGTAGTAGGAGAAGAGCGACCATTAGTACATTTTAGAGTCGCATGGAATGAGACTGAGCCAAGGCCAACAATAATATATCCCAGATATGCTATGAGGAAGATGGTCGGGTGGGATTCTCGGTAACAATTGCGGACACCTACGGCCCCAAGCCAAAGAAACAGTCCATTGGTTATGGTCCAAAGCGAAGAAGTTAGTTCAAGCATGCAGATAAAGTCATGTTTTGGTACTCACATTGCAAAGCTCAGCACAATAGAAGGATAATACGTAGTCCTTGGAATATTAGTATTGCATATCGAGAGACTGCCTCTTAGGAACACATACTTCTTCACAGAAGTTCAGTGTTGACGTTTGCTCGCCCCAGAAGCCATGTCCTGCCTCCGGATATGGCACACTCCAATCTTTAAAGAAACTCATCACAGAAGACGCCATCGTTGTGAATAACAGGCTGCAAGCCAACTAACTGAACCAGATGGCTGCAGATGTAATTATATACTACTACCAAATTTTATTTTGTGGCGTCTCTGCCTCTCTCTCTCTCTCTTTTTTTATTCAGCTGTTTATATTGTTAAAAATATTTTTCCCTTACCTTTTTTCATTAGAAGGCATCGCGCAGCTTCTCCTAACTAGCAAGCCTTTTTTATTTTTTATTTTTCATTTTTACGACAAAAGACTTGTTTTTTTTTTTTCCCTAAAAGTCTTTAAGCATAGGCTATACATTGGCAATCAGTGATGATTTAAAAAAAAAAAAAAAAAAGCTATTATAGGGCCCTCTAGAGACTGTGCTCGCAGTGCAAAGTGCAAAGACAGTGCACTCTTCAGCACTAAAAAAGCGATTTTTTTATAAAAAAAATGAAAACCCTACAACAATAATATTCGCGATGCGTGTTACGTACCGGCCGGGATAGGCACCTAAGGATATTATTTATTTATTTTTAAGAAAAATGATTTTTTTTTATATCTTACACTCACGGCATCCGCACTAGTCCAGGGTCAAGAACAATGCGGGTCAACGCCGGCCCAAGCCATACGGACACCACGCCAGTGCCAAAAAATAAAATAAACAATTTTTTAATCCTAAGTTAACATTATTTAATTCGTATACGCATGATTTCAGAAACACAATAAAAATAACCCCCGCTCTGGAGCGAAAGCATCCATAGCGAGCTGTCGGCTTCGGCTTCGATTCAGATTTCGGCTTGAACTTTTCGGTTTCGGCCTTGGACACATGGCGGCATCGGGCGCTGACGGATAAATACACCAACTTCAAGCCGTCGTGGCTGCCCCGAAGGGCGTAATCAAGTGGGCCGTGAACACTATGACATCCCACAAATGTTCTTTAATAGCATGGTGAAGATGAGTCAACTGGGGGAACTGATTGACAATTAAGCCGAAGTTGTCATCAACTACGCCTGAGCTCGGCTTCATACATACACATATAAATGCTCGTAGAATTTCTCGTCGATGTAGCCGTAAAGGAAACCAAAAACACACTCGATAGCATCGTGAAGCCTTCAACCAACCAATTAACCTGCAATAAACATTATGCCTGCAAACAAGACCCAAGCTTCCCAAGTGGCTCTTCGCGCCACACCATCTGAGGCTACGCTTGTCGACGTCTCCCAGTCTCAAGGTAAAAAGAAAGAAAGACGGAAATAACAATATCCTGACTAAATTTCTAAAATATAAAAGAGTCAGCCACTAACAATATCCTATACTCTAGATACTAGCAAAGCCAACTCCATACCTAGCGACTTCAAGACAGGATTTAGGTCAACTGGTTCATGGAGTAAAAAGGACCCGTACTATGTGTCGTGGGAAGCGCGAGTTTGTAAGCGACTCCCGACTCCCACCTGATCAAGTATAAGTGCTAATCTGACTAAATAACAGTTGCCGCGGTTAATAAGTAACAATGAGGGTCTTTCTTTGTAAAAGAGAGAGGATCCTAAGACATTTAAGTTTTATGAGCACAGATCAGGTCAGATAGATTCAATGTAACGTTAATTTATATGTTTTAAAACAGGAGCCTTAATATGTGGTTTTCGTTTTGCGTATTCACTTATCCGAGTATGCGTCTAGCTAGGGCCACCATGCGATGCCTTAACAAAATTTCAGTACTGTTCAGGCCCCCCACTCCCATCTGATGCGGCGCTTTCCCAATAGCGCTGCTGATAAGATAAGATGAGAATGCGCTAGCCTAAAGGGGACGAAAAAAAAAAAAGTGAGAGGGAGGCGTCGCTGAGGACGGCTCCGACAATCGAAAAAAAAAAAGATACACACCAAAGAACTCCCGAGAGGGGGACAGCAACAGAACTCTCCCTTGCTTCACATAATTTTCATTCACATAATTTTCATTGCATTGGTTAGATCATAAAGTCACTTGGTTCTTAGAACATATCCGCAGCATTCAATGGCTTCTCTTCGTGAAACCCGCAAGAGGAAAGACCTCGACATACCCGATGACACGTCCGATCTAGAGTTTGATGGATGTACGCTGGACGGAGTCTTGTCGCAGAGCGAGAATGAGTCAGAGGACGAAAGCACCGAATTTGAAGATTTCGACTCGGATCCGGATGAAAGCCAGAGTGATCTCGACAGCAACTCTGTCGACAACGAGCCCAAAACAGTTGACGCTACGCTCGACTCAGAGGCGGAAGGTGGCGGGGAGGGACCTTCTTACCGTATCGTGACCGATGCTAACGGCGGGGAGCGCTACGAATATGATGAAGTCGACCCCATCTACGATAGCGATGACACGGACGCCCAAGGCCTAGCGAACACCATCGGCAACATTCCATTGTCCTTCTACGACTCGTATCCACACATTGGATATGACATCAATGGGAAGAAGATTATGCGTCCTGCCACTGGAGAGGCTCTCGATGCTTTGTTAGACAGTATAGAACTTCCGAAGGGTTGGACAGGCTTGACGGATCCTGAGACGGGCAAACCGTTGAATCTAAGCCAGGATGAATTAGAGCTCTTGCGTCGGCTGCAGTTGGGCGAGGTTCCAGAGGAAGGCTATGACCGTTACCCAGTAAGTTTCTATGGTCCAAGCATATCGTGCTCCAAAGACTGACAAGGGGATGGAGGACATGATCCCGTATTTCACTAGCATCGAAGAGCAAATGCCCATCAGTGCGGCTCCCGAACCCAAAAGAAGATTCATCCCTTCCAAACATGAAGCAAAGCGAGTTGGCCAGCTTGTCCGAGCTATCAAAGATGGTCGAATTCTCCCGTATAAGCCGTCAGAAGCTAAAGCGGAAGAGGGGGAAAGGGAGGAAGAAGGGTCGTATTACGATATCTGGGCCAACGAGGAGCCCAGAGACCACCACATTATGAACATACCTGCACCGAAGCTCTCCCCACCTGGGTATGATTTAAGCTACAATCCACCACAGGAATATTTGCCCACGGCAGAGGAGAGAAAAGCCTGGGAAGACGCAGATCCCGAGGAAAGAGAAAAGGAGTATCTTCCCGCAAGATTTGAATCCTTGCGAAAAGTTCCTGGTTATACCGAGTTAGTTAAGGA